AATCCCAGTCTTATCCACTTTAGTTGGGTTTCTACAGACACTCCCTAACCTGTTATGAACACATTTACTACACAATGATAATCAGGAAAAGTACTGAGTTAGCATGAAGGAACCTCAGTTTGAATCTTATTGCTATTCCTTTCTATATCTATACGTTTCAGGGTCATCATCATGACCATCATTTGGCCAGCATGTCAAATACATATTGAAGGGTGAGAGGGTACATTGATAGGTGAAAATTCCTTAAAATTCTTAAATTCTTTGAGCTTTGGATTCTGTCAACAGGAAAAAAATGAATATTCAATTGACACAACTTTAAAAAAATAAAGAGAGCACAACAAAAAATAAAAACAAAAATTCAAGAAAAGATTTTAATCATAGAAAAAGAAAACAAGATTATAAAGAAAAAAGTCTTCATAAAGGTAAATAGGGGTAGTAGCCTGAAGGAAAATGTAGCTCTTGATTTATAAAACAGTTTATAAAAACAGAGGTCAAAGATACGTGGGGTAGAATACTGAAGGAAACCAAACTGGGAAATCAGGAAGTAGAGATATCAATTAAAATATTCTCCATATGGAGCCTTAATGTATTTAATATAACATGGTTTACACAAAGGTATCCTTAACTTCAAGTAAAATGATTCCTTTCCAGGACTAGCCTGTTCTTGTTTATGAAGAAAACATGATACCACAGCTTTGTGAGATTTTTCCTAAAAATCTTTGATGTACAAAAAAAGAAATTTTGTTATCAGTGAAACTGTCAAAAATATCAGGACAAACTCTATACCCAGGCTTTGCAGGTAAATTATGAGTCAGAATTAACACACAACTGACTTTGACTTTCTGAATTGATGATACAGACCTGCTTCTTGATTCTAGTACAGCACTGGCATCAACCTACACAGTAGGGCAATACAATAGAGTTGTCAGCCAGGCAAGCTTACAGTAACTACAGGCCTGGTACTTATTAATTGTGGGAATATGGGACAATTAGTCAACTTCTATGAATGAGTGAGAACTGCTTAATTAGTAAATAACAGGTTATAATAGCACAGACACTTTCAAAGTCATTGCGATGACTTTAACAAACAAGTGTTAGATGCAATTGTCTATCCTAGACTGGAACACTCAAAAAATATTTGTTCCTTTCATCTTCATTCTATAATTAGCTATCATACAATTTTTTTTACTCTATAAAATCCTACCTTTTTAAATGGTCATCTGTAGAATCTTCATCCACTATTAAAGAAAAGAGTAAAATACATATTTAATCAACAATAGAAAATATAAAATATTAAAAGTGTATGAGTCTGATGCTTTTTTATAGAGAATTCTTCTAGGCCCATATATGGAGCCTTTTCTAGAATGAATATTAATTATATTTCTGATAGGCAATTAATGCATTAAGAACTCTTCAGTCCCATACTTTGCACTTTTTAAATGCAAGGAAGATGCATGGGATTTATCAAAATTTGATACCTAAAAGTAAAAGTAAACAGTCCCATGACTGTACTTTTATCTAAAAGTTACAAGATGGACAGAAAACAATATCATTAGCAGATTCAGGAGCATAGAGATGAAAGTGTCAAACAAATAGCATGATTTTTCTGGACTAATTGCAGTAGGAATAATTATCAGAGAATATTCTTAGGCTGTTATGATACACAATCGCTCCAGATTTTCAGTCAAAACTGCTCAGGTTAAAATGAAACCCTTTACCACAAGGAAGGTGGATGCATGGACAGTGTACTTTGATGCATGGCAAAACTCAAGAAAACAGACCAGGAACTGGAATGCTTACATAGACATTCCAGGTTAAATATGAGGAGAGCTAAATAGAAATTGATATGTTAACCCTCACTAATCCTGTTCTGGTGAAGATATTATTCTCTTATTTCCAGATGCTTTCTCTCTTATGTGTCCTATAAACAAGGCATTACCTCCAATGTGGGCAGTGAGGGGGGGACACTAAAAAGATGAAATCCTTGAGAGTTTGTACATTCTGGTATATACTTTGTTGTCACAGGAAAACTTAGAAGTACTAGGGAGGTAGCAGCAAGTTGTCATGTAGAAATAGCTGATATGAGAAAGGATTAAAGTAAACTATTATGTTTTCAGAATGTGCCAACCATTGTCTCTCTGATGAGAAAAAAAGTCCTTTCCAATGCATTTAAATTATTAAACAAAACAATGTTACTCTTTTGGCATTTCCCCCAAGAGAAAATCTACTGATAGGATACAGAATGGAGCTTAATGGTAGTGCGTTGCATAGAATGCATGAATCCTGGGTTCGATCCCTAGAAGTGAAATAATAATAGTAATAAAAATAACAAAAATTTTAAAAGAATGTCAGTTCTGTTAAAATTAAATAGTCTGATTTCATACTCTTCTCTGAAAATATTAGAATTACTTTTTAGATTATTTGAAGTACGTCATTAATTTGTAATGGCAAAAACGTAAAGCATATAGTATGAATAAATCCGAAGGGGCTTATACAAAGAAGGGGACATAACTTTAGACAATGTTGGATTTGCTAAATTTAAAGCACTTATGGAATTATTTTACTCAAGCATGTGGCAATGTAATTATTTTTTCTTTGTTTTTATTGGTTCTTTTAATTTAAACATTAGGATTCATTTTGATCAAATTCTACAGCTTCGTTTTTTCTTTTAAATTCAGTCCCCAGTAGATACCCTTTTTCTCCCCCCCCCTTGCTTTGTTTCCTTTCATCTACTGTCCTGAACTGTTATTTATATCCTTTTTTTAAAAAAAAAATTAGTACCTTGGGGACATACATGTTGATGAGATTCAGTATGGAGCAGTCATAAATATACATAGCAAATTTCATTGAGATTCTGTTTTAGTCCGATTTTTTATTGCTGTGACTACAGGACCTGACCAGAACAATTATAGTGGGGAAAGAGTTTATTTGAAGGTTTAAGAGGTCTCTGTCAATAGACTGCCAACTCCATTCCCTGGGACTCCAGATGAGGCTGAACATCATGGTGGAAGAGTAAGGCATAGGGAAGCAGCTCACTTGTTGAATAGAAAGCAGAGAGAGACTCTACTCACCAGATATAAAATATCAAAGGCAAACCTCCAATGATGCACATCCTTAGCCGCACTTTACCTGCCTTCAGTTACCACCCAGTTAATCCCATCAGGGGATTAATTCACTGACTGGGTTAAGACTCTCATAGCTCAATCATTTCCCCTTTAAACCTTCTTGCATTATATCACACATGAGCTTTTTGGGGACACCTCACATCCAAACCATCAAAGATTCATTCTGACAACTGAAGAGGAGATAATTTTAATTCATGTTTACTACTCTTTTTCTAGAAAGTTTTCCTATGGCAAGGCTGTAAAATACTTTTTGATGACCACTGTTATAAACTATGACTTCTTGAGATTGTCAGATTCCACTGAGACGATTTTATCTGGTCCCAGTAGAGTAGGATGTTACAGTTAGCACTGTGTTGTACAGCATGATCCAATTTTTTTTTCAATCCTTTTCATTATGTGGCAAATCTTTATAGACTTCCTGCTTTTTCTGCATGTAATCCATATGCCCTCATGTCCTATACTGGTGAACAAAAATTGGAAAACAAGGGCTATAAATGAAGCCCACTAATAGACAATGTGCCTATATCACATGATGTAATGTATTCAATCACTAGCACCACAAAAGAAAGAAAAACTAAAAAGTATTTTGTAAATGAATAGATTTAATTACGTTGGAACTTTAATATTTTAAATATACTATACTTTTCCAAATATAAGGTTACTCTGGAAAAAAATATTCCAGATATAATAGAGATAAGTGGTTGGAAGGGGTTACATGTGTGTTGAGGTGATTAGGAAGAAGATAAGCACAATAAAACATTTTGTTTCTGAAGCTACAACTATGAATACATGCTATTATCCATTTTTCTAAAAACCACAGTTGTATAGCACCAAGAAAGAATCCTAATATAAATTAAATATGTGAGTGATAATAATGTATAAGTGTAGGCTCATCATTGTTAGCAAGAGTATGCCCCTAGTAGTGGACATTGGTAATGGAGGAGTACTGTGAAAGTAAAGGAAGTACAGAAGAAAATATCTTAGTACCTTCCATATTTTTCTGTGAATTTAAAACTATGTATTAGGGACCAAGGATATACCTCAATGGTAGAGCACTTACCTGGATGCATAATGCCCTAGATTTGATTACAGTACTGAACACAAAAAGTTACTAAATAATAAAAAAAAAAAAAAGATACTCACTGAGCTGACCATTAACAGTTAATAAGTATTATTGCCGCAGTCTGTGTGGCTGCAGCAAACTAGCGGGGGGGGGGGGGTGTGACGAATAACTTGTGTACTTGATACAGCAGGAGTAGGAGCCGTTTATTGCAGGACAGGAGCAGTATTTATACATTCCACACAGCTTATCTTATTAGCATAAACTAGATACATCAGTCAACCAATAAGGAATCTCCACACTTAATAGCTCGCTTTTGTTACTTCTCAAACCACTCCCGATGGCATTTTGCCAGGCACCATCCAGACTTGTTTACGAACTCTAACATTCCCCTGGCAAAATGCCAGGTGTTATTTTTGACTTGTTTACAGACTCTAACATATTATGGCAAGACAGTCACCTCCAAATTGGTGATAAAGATCAAAGCGATAGAATATGGCTATTCTCATAAGTTGAAGAAATTGAAAATACACAAATGAATAATTTAATTACATATTTATGCAAAAAATAGTTTAAAAATGCCACAGAGTATTTCACCTCATTTTAATGAGACAACTCATTTTTAGTGACACAAATAACTAATTTTTATTTACTAAATACATTCAACTTATAGAAAAAAATATTAGAAAATACATTTGCTCTTTGGAACAATCTCAATTCACATTCACATTTTGGGTAGATACTGGAGTTCAGACATTTGCCACATCCCTGGGCACAGAGACTATAGTTCTTTTTTTTTTTTTTTGAGAGAGAGAGAGAGAGAGAGAGAGAGAGAGAGAGAGAGAAAATTTTAATTTTTTTTTTTTTCAGTTTTTGGCGGACACAACATCTTTGTTTGTATGTGGTGGTGAGGATCGAACCTGGGCCGCACGCTTGCCAGGCAAGCGCGCTACCGCTTGAGCCACATCCCCAGCCCACACAGACTATAGTTCTACAGGCAGAATATATGACTTTCTGGCACAACCCTCATAATGCCAAAGCTCTGCAGGTATGAAGGGCTTGCTGCTATGCAGGCATTGACAATTGCCCTGGGCAAAACTAGGACAGTGTGTGCACATACAACTCATGTAGAAGAAATTCTTGACTAGATTTTGCTTTGTGTTACTTTCTTTTTAATTATTACTTTGTCATTTTGTTTCATTACTTTTATTGTCATAATTTAATAGAATTTTTAAATTTTCTTCTAATTTCTCATTTTTCCTTTTTTTAAAATTAATTTTACTTTTATGAACCTTTAACAATTTAGTAGATCCTAAATATTTTATCCTTTTCTTCTCTGTTGTTACTGATGTTTTTTTTTTTTTTTTCTTTTTGATTGTTTCTGTATACCTATATCTAGTTTGCCTTCATGCTGTATTATTGTTGTTTGTCTTCTTCCATCTGCATTGGGGATCCAGCCCCATTCCTTGAACACATTGGCAGGTACTTTGCAACTTCTAAAACCCACAGCAAAGGTAAGAAAAAATGCATCTTACTTTCCACAGAAGACGTACAGTCCCACTTATAACTTGGCAGGTACTTCGAGTCAAATAACAGGGTAAATAAAAGCCCCCAGCTGACATGTACCCATGTTGGTATGGATCGAATGTACTATAATCCAGTGTTTGGCAGCCACCCTCATAGCATGAGCAGGTAGGTGAAACAACTCTGTTTACAGAGTTGTGCAGGTATGAAGTCTGCACCAAGCAGCACCTCAGCCTAGGTTGTTGGAGGCCATGACCATGTCAAGATGGTGCCTGGCAGTTTGCCAGGAGGAGTGGCTTGTGAGGCAATGCCACTGAGTCATCAAGATGGTGGGGACTCCTTATTGGCTGATTGCTGTATCTGTAGGGGAGCAATGCTATGATTGGATGATGCTGATTGAGTCATGCTTTATGTAAATCAGTTAGATATATATACTTCTGCTCTTCTATAATAAAGCAGTTATCTTCAGTTACCTTCAGTTACCGCTTCAACCTTCAGTTGCTTGTCACCTCTCAGTTACTTTGCCCAGCTGGACTGTGGCACTAGGTCTCTCCCGTGCCTTTGCAGACAGAAAATTATTGACAAGGCTACAGTAATGACCACAAAAAATGCAGCCCACATAATCCACTGCCTACATCATGTGACTCCATTCTCACAAGATTGACAAAGAAAGTTGGTCCTTCAGGCTATGATAGTACAAACTGTGACAAAATCCATGAATCACAGTCAGGTAAAACATAAAAGTCTATAATACAAAGTCTATAATTTGGAAATAATCTTGACAAAATAAACCAATAGCCCAGGATACATCATCAAGAGAAGGTTATTTCCTAAGAAGACTCTCACATAAATGTGGAAGAAACATACATCCCCACAGATGCACAAAATTTAGCACAAATATAAGATGAACAAGTAAGGTAACATGGATCCTCCAAAAGTTCATAACTCTCTAGCAACTGATTCCAATGACACTGCAGTAGACAAAATGCCAGAAAAAGGATTTAAAAAGATTAAAAATAATGTATGAACTCAAAAATGATACAAATAGAAGATAAATAAAGTAATAAAAACTTTACAAGGCATTAGAGAACAGTGCAAAAATAGAGCTTCCGAAAAGAAATCAAACAGCAATCTTGGAAATAAATAGCTTAATATTTCAAATTAAAAAAAAATAAATCTAAGTTTCAATCATAGACTAGATTAATCAGAAGAAAAAATATCAGAGTTGGAAGGCAATGATGAATGTCACGTTTAGTTAGTTATGACAACAAAAAGAAGAAGAAACAGAATATACAAAGTCCTTGGTACCTGATTTATAGACTAAACTCATGAATTATGAACACAGACAATGGTGTATTACTACAGGCTTATAGGCAATGCAATTTATTTGGAGAAAAAAATAGCAGAAAATTTCTTAAATTTTTTGAATGTTATGGATGTCCTTGGGGCTGGGGATGTGGCTCAAGCGGTAGCACACTGGCCTGGCATGCGTGCGGCCCGGGTTCAATCCTCAGCACCACATACAAACAAAGATGTTGTGTCTGCCAAAAACTAAAAAAAAAAAAAAAAAAAAAAAAAAAAACCCAAAAAACATGAATGTTATGGATGTCCAGATACAGGAAGCATTTAGAACACCAAATGGACATGACCAGAATAGAACTTCTCCACGTTCGTTTATAAAAATTGCCAAAAGTACATTGAAAGATGTAAAAAAGGCCAAAGCACTTATAGAATAAACTCATAAGAACATAAGAGTTATCAACAGAAACTTTGAAGGCCAGGGAACATGAAATGGTATATTTCAAGCCTTTCAGAGAAAAGAAAGAAACAAAGACAAAAACTTAAGATGGATGGAAAGGCTGGCTATTATGTTAAGCAGAATAAGTCAGAAACATAAATCAAATATCACATTCTCTATAACATGTGCAATTTGAAAACAAATTAAGAATGACTAGGAAATGGAAAAGGGGTTATTAGGAAAGAGGGAAGGTAACAAGGGATGAAGAAATGAAGGGACAGATAGAAATGGAAGTAGGGAAAGTGGTTTGGGATTCAAGTACTATTTACATATGTATGGAAATATCACTGTAAAATCCATGAATTTGTATACACAGTAAGAGTTGATATCTATAGTAAAAATAGAACATCTGTTTTTATTACAAGTCCACTTTGCTACAATGTCATTATATAGGAAAGACAACATGCTAATTTGAATTTTTTTACTTATTTATGCACATAAATATAAGATTTCAGGGGCCAAGATTAAGTTAGCCTAAAATTACTTCAGACAATATCATTTCAGATTATAAATTTCCTACAATTAATGGCTTAAATAATCATGAATTCTAGATTATTAATAAAAATATTAAGAACAATATGAATGTAACACATTAATTTCTCCACTGCTCCTTAGCAGTCCAAACTTTCTTACTCTTATTTATTTACTCAGGTACCAGGAATTGAGCCCAGGAGAGCTTAACCACTCACAGACATCCCAGTCCTTTTGTAATTTTTGAGAAAGTGTCTTGCTAAGTTGCTGAGGGCCTTGCTAAATTGCTGAGGTTGACTTTGAACTTGCAGTCCTCTTGCCTCAGCCTCCTGAGCCACCCAATTACAGGCTTGCCAACACTGCACCTGGCATACTCTTACTTTTCTTATATAAGCCATGAATACCATGATTAATTCACTTTCAGAAGTCTTACCTGGGTTGATATTTTCAGGATGTTTAGATTCTACTTTCATATATTGAAGAATTAATTCCTTCAGGCTATAGATAAAAAATGAATCAAATTAGCATTTTAATATTGGTATAAAAACAATAACCAAACATTCAATATATAATAGTATTTTAAACAATATTAGATCTTATATCAGAACTTTATAATATGCACTTCAAATTTGTAAGCCCAGACATTTTATTAACTTGACAATTATTTGTAAACTGTTTGGTTTTCTTTTGTTTTTGAGATGGGATTTCACAATGATGCACAGGCTAGTCTGGAATTCCTTGGTTCAAGGAATTCTCCTGCCTCATTCTCTCCCCCAAGTAGCTGTGGTAAATACACATGCCATTGCACCCATAAGCTTATATTAAGAAAACAAAGTAAGATAAAATGATCATGAATTGAGAACAATATAGGTAAGTATATTAACTGATATAGCTAGAACTCAGAAAATGTCATGTAAATAATAGCTCTTTCTTCTTGCACAATTAATTTCTCTTAAAATTAAGGGCTTCTTCTAAAAAATAAGGGTTGTACCACTTTAGTTTACAAAGTTGTTAGGAAGACTCTATGAGGTAATATTAAAACATGTCAAAAGAAATAGGAAAATAATGGCATAATTTGATCTTTTTAGTCAACTATAATTGGAATCCCAAATAAACCAATGTGTATTCTTCACAGGTTCTAATATTCAAGTGTTGAAATTACTGAAAAATGCTTTTGAGTTCTAATTTTGGTTACTGATTGTAGTCTTTTTTGTGCTTTATGTCTCAGGGCAAATTAGACATTAAATAATTTATAACAATTTATTTTTAACTATCATATCTCTTTAGAGAATATATTCATCCCCTATTGTGAAACTAATCAATAACACCAAAAATGGGAAATTAACCAATGCCAAGAATTGGCTTGGACTGCTACTATTTCTTCTCCACCTAATTGAAAAGAATCAATGGATAATTTTTAGAGGAAGCTAAATCTCCATGTCGACCTCTAACTGACTTGGAAGACCAAATCCTCTTTACACATGGATACTAATAAGTCATAATGGGGCTTAGCGCTCTTAGATTCAATGAATCTACTTTAAGCTCAGAGAACTTATCTCTTCCTTGTAAGGGAGAACTTGATATATGCTGAAAACTTTAGACTGATTGCAATAGTTTGGGAAATTTTCTTACTTTGGAAAGCAAATCACTAGACACACCCAACCTGGGAAACATTAATATTGGGCCTCCTGCAGTAAAAGAAAATATACTTCAAGGGATGAGAGGTTTCGAGGAACACATATTTTAGGGAAGATGATTGGAAATTCTCATCTCTTCAGTGATATTATTTGAAGCTATCTGATAGTTCTGAATGATTAGTTTATGCAAGAAAAGACAAAGTCCTCAAAGGATAATGCATGGGGGTTGTTCCACATAAAGGTTTGAGTTGTGGGACAGGGCCAGAGTTCTTAATATGTGTGTGGCTAAAGCTAGGAGGCCAAGTTGCCAAAACAGAATTCTGCTGTTTGGGAATAATAGCTGAATAAACAAGCATATGTATATATGAACTAAAAATAGCGTTGTAACTTTTAAATCTAAGTGTGCATTACCATGAATACTCAGGGATTGGGATCAATCAGGACATTTTGTAGTAAAAGTTACTCATCACCAGACTGAAGAGCCAGTTCTAACAGCAACACCACAGCAACAGAATTGACAGAGAAAAATTAACATTTTAAAAGTCCTTCCACCTGCTCTTTAGACTTTAAGGAAATTCTCAGGTCCTTGGGAAATTAAAGAAGGGTGGTAGAAAAGCTAACTTTCATAGGAGAGTAAAAATATTTTCTGCTCAACTGGGCATTTTAAGACCCAAATGGCTAATTATAAAAATCAAAGTGTGACACTATTGCTACTCCACAGTTAGGAGTTATACTTGGAACGAAAGAGATAAGACTGGGAATCATAATGACAAAGTTTTTTTTAAAGAATCCTAAGATGCTGACTAGTGATGTATCTCAGTGGTAGAGCAACTTACTAGCATGTATAAGGGAAAAAGTAAAAAAAAAAGGGGGGGGGGGGGGGAAGAAAGGAACCTCTGAGAAGACTCTTACATTCATCACTATTTTTGTCTAGACTTTACAGGGTTCCTGGGTGATGAACTCTAACTCATTATCATTCCACATATAGCTGTACTATAAAATCTCACCTCATGTGTAAAATGCAATAGTTTTTTAATTATTTTCAGCCTCCAATCAATATTGATTAGTATTTTAATGTAAATACTTACTTAGTATCACCACTAGCAATAGCATAAGCTAATGCCATCTGCCCAAAGTTATCTGCAGCAGAGACATCAATACCACTCTGAAGAAGCATCTCAACTACGTGTTTTGATTTTTGTTCCAAAGCAAACATGAGGGCTGTTCTATAATAAGAGAGATAACGTCAACTTTAAGTATTTTAATAAAGTTATTCAAAGAGCTAATTTATAATATTTTCTCAATTTGACATCTTACTTTACAGATATTAATAGACATAAACATCTAAGAGAACAAATATTCACTTTTGCAAATCATCTCAAAGTCTAAAAGGAAAAAAAAGAAAATCTCTTTTCCCAATGAGGGAGATGTTAACAAACTTAAAGTCCTTCAATGGACAGTAACTATGATGAGGTCATTTAACTGAAATTGGTAAAACTTTCATTGAAGAAAGCTCCATTTCCTTCTTAGTGTGAAACAATGTACTGTAACTCACAGTCAGCTAAAGGTCAAGCAGAAAAGGCTATTTGCACACTAATAATAACAATAAAATAATAATCATTATTTCAATTAATGGTACTAATAAGTATTTGCTAAACATTGAATGCAATGCAATATGTACAATTTCACAATCATCCTTCAAGCATGTATTATCCTATTTTTCATATCAGGAAATATATTTAGTCATAAGTATTGTTTTTAAGGTGATGTACTACAAAAGCTAGGAATAAAATCCAATTGTGTGAGAATCCAAGGCTTTTTTTTTTCTCTTTAAAACCTGCCTATGTCTTATCTTTATTAAAGAAAATATTTATTCCATTAAAGCTACTTTCTTCCCTCTGTACCTTCCAATTAAAAGCAAAAGCACCAAAATATGATAAAAATGAACAGCATTTGGCAGTAGCAATTAATAAACACTTAGGAATAAACTAACATCAATATTCTACAAGGAAAGTAATTTAGAACAGTCAACCAAATAAAAAAATAATTTCCAATGCCTATTTATGATCAATACATCTTTTCCAAAAGAAAAATAAATCAGATGCAGAAGTTAAAAATATAATAGAAACCAAAATGTAAACTAAAACTCCATATTTTACAAAACTAATAGTAATAGTAAAACTCTTTAGTTAATACAAAATCATGTGAGCAATAAACCAATAACTAACATCTGCCAATAATTTTGAATCATATTAATATACTTATTTGTATTTCTCAATTCGAATAATTGATTTTTTACCTTAACTGTGGTTTGTTTTTTATATCACTCTTTTCTAAATATGTTAATATTGACTTTCCCATTAAACTAGTCATTTTTCCATGAGTGATTGTTACTATATAAATAATATATATATAAAGTACCATACCTTCCCTTCTGGTCAACTGCATGTATATTTGCTTTGTTCTGAATTAATGTTTCAACCATCTGCTGTCTGTTTTGCTCTATGGCAAGTAAAAGTGGTGTATAGCCCCTCTGGAAAACAACAAAAATTTTACAGAATTATTCAACTGAACTGAACCTCTTACAAAGTGCTGTATGAACATAAGAATATAACAAATATTGTAAATTAAGAGTAATCTCTTCCTTCTCATCTCATTTCACTTTCATATTTTCCGACCCTTAACTTTGCAATGTCTCTCCTCTACTTAGAGTGGCCACATAAACTCTAGTCATTTCTTGAAGACAGAGACCTCTTTTCTCAATAGCCCTGTACCCTAAAACAATTAGTAAAGGATTTAAATATTTTATTTAATAAGCCAAATTTTTAACTCTATATCAGGGTTTATTAATCTACATATCAAAGAATACATACTTTTCCAGAAATACCAACCCTTATCAGAAAGGTTCCTTGATTCACTGTTAGAGAATATTTACAAGACTGTGCATTATATATCCAGTACTACAGAAATATCTTTACTATTGCTTAACACTTCTTTGACATTGATTTTTCATAGCAAACATTTACATGTGAAGAACTAAAGTTGCAGGTATACACTTTCCAATAACATGGAAGTTTTTTCTTCATGTTACTCAAGTCCTCTTGATTCTATTCAATTTATGGTGTCAGAATCCCACATACCAATATCAGGCACTTTTGCTCCAAATTGTTCACAAAAGAAGTGGGATCTGAATTGAAAGAATAGACTTTGAGTAGACTATGCTGCTTTTTTTCTTAAAGGAAAGGAATTGAATCTTGTTTTCTGCTATTATTAGATAAAAAATATTTACCTTCCATGTTATAAAGATGAAATCAAAAATATATTCTCCCTGGGAATCAGTGAAAGTCTGTCAGCTACTCAACTGATAGGGGGTTAATATCCAGAATATATAACACAGACAACAATATACCCTCAAAACAACCTATTACAATAAATGGGAAAAAGAACTGAGGAGACATTTTTCAAAAGAAGAAAATGAATGAACAACAAATATATAAACAAATGTTCAACATCTCTAGCAATCAGAGAAATGCTACAATAAGGGCTAATATCACTCCAATTGGAATGGTAATGAGCAAGTATACAAACAACAATAAATGCTGGCAAGGTTGTTTGGATAAAGGAACATTTGTACATTGTTGGAAACAATGAAGACTAGTATGTTCACTCTGCAAAGCAGTTTGAATATTCCTAAAAAAATCTAGGGATCAAACCACAATAGAACCAAGATATTTCACTCCTGGTTATTTTTGTAAAAGAACTAAAATCAGCATACTATAGTGATATAGCTACTTCAAGTTTATAGTAGTCCAATTCTTAATGACTACATTATAAAATCAACCCAGATGCCCACTGATGGATGAAAAAATTAAGAAATTGTTGTATGTATACACAATGTCATTCTACTCACCCATAAAGAATAATTAAATTATGGAATTTGTTAGTTAATGGGTGGAAATGGAGAATATCATGTTAAGTGAAAAAAGACAAACTCAGAAACTCAAAGGTTGAATGTATTCTCTAATATGTGGAAGCTAGGATAAAATGAAGAAAAGGAGGAAGGAAGGATAGGATATCAAAAAGATACAGGGAAGATCAGTAGTGTAGTAGGAGAAGATGGAGGGGCCAAGTAGAAGGATAACAAAGGAGAGTCAACAAATAATGAACTCTTCAAAAATTATGTTATGTGCATATACAAATATACCACAGGAAATGTCATCTTTCTGTTTAAGTAAAAAGAACCAATCAAAACTAAATGGAGAAGGGAGCATATGTCTATCAGAGTAGAGGAAAGAGAACAATGGAGGACAGGAAGGACAGAAGGAGAGAGGGTCAGGAAAGGAATTGAATCTTGAACTGAAATCAAATTCCATGCATGTATAATTTTGTTGGGATAAACCCGACAAAACTACTAAGTGTAACAATGACTATATATACTACTATGTATTCAACTTCTATGTATAACTATTACAATCTAATAAAAATAAGATCATAACATATATCCTCAGTTTTAATGGTAAATCTGGGACCCTAATGAACATCTGGTTTTCAAGATTCTTTTACTCTTATGCCATTTTAGTTGCTACTTAAAACAATTTATAAATTGAGGCAAAATGTAAGTCAGAAATTTTTCATATTGATGAGCTTCATAGTGATCTATATCGATAAATTGTTTTTTGCATAATGAAAGATACTAAATCTATTGCATTTTTAAGGGACAAAACTGAAGAGAAAGAGATAGTATTGCTTGCAGTGTGAATAATTTTTTTATTTATAACAATGTGTAACCTAAACAGGCTTTAAAAATTCCAATGGGAATATGATTTTTATAGTATACATAAGAAAATGTGTTTAAAATTCTAATTTATGAGAAATGGAAGATAGCAGAATAAAGGAAGCTGCATTCCAAGCTGTGCTGTGTTAAAAGACCAAATAA